TTTCTATAGAAAGGTTGTTCGAATTACACCCTGTAACAATTTTGAAAAAAGCTTTCATACATAGAAAAGTTGATATGCATATCCATCCATTATAGCAATTCTACTAATATTCTAATATTCCGATTTGTATTATCAGCTCTTATGACCTTATAAAAGGCCTTCAGAGTTTAAAGGACTTATAATTTCAAACGAAAATTTTAAATATTTGTATGTGTTGAATGATGCTAATATTAGTATCAAATGAAAGCTGTACATTCTATTTATTATTATTTATTTGACACTTAGACAAAAATCGAAAAAGAAATTAAATCTAAAAATGTCTCATTTTCGAAACAAAAATTTTTAACTACTCTTTTTGACAAATTTTCTTTAAGCTGCCAGTTGTTTTTTAATCCTGATGAATTCAAATAAGTAATATTATTTTGAAGCAGAGGTTCTCAGCTTCATTTGATATTAATATTAACACCAACTTTTTATATAAAGTTTGAGTTCCATCTTTTGAAATCGTATGTCTAATAATGATCCACAATTTCCTGTACCCATAGAAATTTTCATGTGTGAAAATAACTGTTGCACGGTGTTATAATAAGCTTTTCTGTATAAGAGTTGATCAGATTGTTTTGAACTTTTCTATAGAAAAGTTGAATAGTTTTTGATGGTCTTTTCAATGGATAAGTTGTGATGGACTCTTCTATATATTGTGATGAACTTTTCTAGAGAAAATTTAAATGATTGTGTTTAAATTTTTTTCTAGAAAAGTTGGTTAGATTGTGAAAACTTTTCTTTAGATACATAAATTCCTCAAAATTAAAACAAAAATTCCTTTAAAATATTCAATTAACACTTTGTGAAAAACAATTTGTTGTGTGTGCAATTATAAACATTTGAAAAACAAATTATTTAAGTACATATTTAATAACATAAACACAAGTATTTGAATTTTCTAAAGAAATTATTTATTTACCTAACTTTCACATAAAGGCAGGTTATTTTTTTTAACAAATATTTATATGCATGTGTATATAAAAACACTTCAAAGATACATACCTGTAGATGTGAAATTAGGCTGCTTCGAAAAGAAAAAATTAAGTTTGAACACATTTCGCAAAAATCTTTCACTTTAAAAATAAAAAACCGATGATATACGAATTGAATAGAATCTTTGAGGAGTTAAATATTATTATCAAATAAAAATTTGTTCCCTCTAAGAAAACTGGCATCCCCTAGTGTATAAAACAATCTTTTGATGTAATGTCACTCATATGTATATTGTTGTCTAAAATAAATTCATATATATAAATTTAATTATCTTCAGACAAAACGTCAACATTTGTCTGATTTAATTAACTTAATTAATAATTCAAACATTCTTATGTTCAAAACTCATGACCTAGATTTATGACAAACAAAAAAAAAAAAAAAAAACAACAACCAGCTAAAGAATGTTCATTAACATAATCAGTATTTAATTTATGTGTTTAAAACAGAAGTAAAATTTTGTATAATATTTGAATATATGTATGAACATAAATTTTTTTTTTTTGCTAATAAATCTTAATGTTAATTTTCAATTACTGTAGTCTGTTACTAAAGAAGGTTATGTGGCATGTCCCGGCACGAATAAGAGTAATAAGTATTTTAAGATTTATTACCAGAAAAGTGGGTGTTGTTTTTAAATATATTAGGTATTATTTAAATTTAAGTATTAACTATAAATCTTGTTTATAGCAGCGTATTTTACACAACATATTTTCAAGAATTATATGAAAAAACTGATTTTTTTTTACATTTTACAAAAATAATCTTCTTTGCTTATTTTAATTGCAAATTAATATTAATAAATAATAAACTCCTTCTTCTAGCATATTTTTCTCTCAAAACTTTTTCAATTTGTTTTGATGGAGAAAAAAAAAATCAATTTCATCCAACTCATTGAAACTTATTTAATTGAATTTTTATGTCAATTATCAAAGTGCGCGCATAATAAAGCAGTGATTGTCATTTTTAGAAACCCATGGAATTCAATTGTCTTTCTTAACTGGTTGACCAGTTCATTAAAATACAAAGTGTTTGTACAAATAAATTTATTTTAAATCTTAAGAATTTTTCTTGAGCAAAAATTGTTTGAGAAGTTTTTTGCAACTTTCTACACTCAAGTTTAATAGTGAGTTTTAAAACAGAGAAATTTTAAAATTTATTTTTAAATAAAATAATGCATAAAAAGGTAATTGTAAGGTAATTTTAGCTTAAGATATATAAACATGTCTGTACATTAGAGTGACCCCGTTTGTATGGAGGGGTCAATTAGATGTCAATGTTCCCAACTAAATGCACATATTATGTACGTTAGATAAATATAGGTAGCACAATACCGAGGAGAAAATAGGATTAAAAATATTTAAATAATATAAAAAACATATCGAATTTCGAAAAACAGAAAAAACTATTTCGGTGATATTTTATGAGGTTTATTATGAAATAATTTCAATTAATTACATTAAATAATTCTATGTAAAAATATGAAAAACTTAAAAATTGTCCGAAAAATTACGACATTTGTAATAATTTTGGAATTGTAGACAAAATTGTGTTATGTCATTGAAATTTGCAAGAAATATAATAAAAATCATAAAAACCTTAAAAAGGACCTTTTTATCCTTTGATCCAGCTCACCAAATATTGACGTCAGAACAAACATTTTGAGAAATGGTATCTTAAAATTAACTAAATTTTCATTAACGGTAGGACCATCAGCAACTTCCATTTTGGGGTCGCCCTAATGTACATACATATGTATATCTAAATACTTATGAATTATGTACATATATAAGGATAAAATTACATTTATGTATCCTTGAATTATAAATAATAAATAATTGATGTTTATACTTGACACTCTTATATTCACTTATCCTTGCGTGTATTGTTAAGAGTATTTATTTATTTATTTATTTACAGGATATGTATTTATAAACAATAACAAATAAACACTCATAGTTATAAACATGTATGGTTTTTATACCCTACACCACTTTAGTGGGGAGTGTATATTGGGTTTGTGCTGTTGTTGGTAACGCACAATAATATTGGTCCTATACCCACTTTAAAGTATACAAATCGGCTTAGAATCCTTTTCTGAGTCGATTTAGCTATATATACTACAGGTCGCAATTTTGAAGATAATTCAATGAAATTTCGTACATGATCTTCTATTGTTCCAGGGACAAATTGAAAATGGTTAAGATCTGTCCATTATTTCACCTAGCCCCCATACAACTGAACCCCACGAATAGGGCTTTTAAGTTCATAATTATGTTTAATATACTTGTATATCGACAAAAAGCTGCAAAACCAAGTTCTATACTAGCCTTGGTGACCCTCATAAATTTTATAATTATTGCGCCACATTTGACCCTAGCTCCTATACAAAGCCCCCTTCAAAATATGACTTAAATGTCCACAATTTTATTCAACAATAAATGGCTTAATTATACTTATCTGAGGCAAGCTACAATACAAATTAAATGCTTTATTGTGAAAACTAAATCACATTTTATTTTTGTAACAGGTGTAGGGTATTATATGGTCGGCCCGACTATAATTTCTTACTTGTTATACTTATATTAGACCAGTTCAAAGGAAAAAATTTAAAAAAATACGTATAATAATTTTGAATATAATTGAGTGAGCCTTTGAAACTAGGCTTAATGCAAACATTTGATTATTTTAGAATAGCGATTAAAAATTACAATGAATTTTCACATCCCTAATGTGTGTTCACACGATACATGTTAAAATATTTAATTTTACATCTATATATGTATATGTATCTGTAAATATATATACATACATATGTATATCCAAACATACATATATTTATACACACAAAATAACTACTAAAATCACAGGTTTGTGTAGGCATCATACATATTTATAAATAAGAGCAACAATAACAATTTAAGCATTAAATTAAATTGTTAAATGATTAAACGATTAAAATGAGAAGCATGTGTTTAATTAAATTTTATGCACACTTTATTATAAATTATAAATAAATTTTGCAAAATAAAATTAAATTAAATATATTCTATTATTAAAATGATTGCTGAGTGTGTGACTAAAATAGTCAAATACTTTTAATGTATTATTTTAATATATTTATTATATTATTTTATTGTTGACTGATTGATTGATGGATAAATGATTAATCAATGGGAGAATATGCTTGTACATAAATTTATGAATTAAATAGTAAATGACATAATGGAAGTTATCATAAAAGAACAATAAATGTTTATAAATTTTAAAATGTTAACAAGTTAGAGTGCTAGTTATATTTTAACAATATAATTTAATTCTTTTAATTCTGTGTTCTTATATAAAAATATTCTGAAGTAGGCCTACGAACTACATAAAGTGTTATTTAAACTCATAAAAGTAACAAATCTTACAACTTCTTATTATCACCATAGCGAAATTTACACAAATTTTGTTTATTTTTAGCAAATCAATGCCAAACACAATTTTGTAATGTATTTAAAAATAACAAATTAATTTGTTGCTACTAAATAAGTTAAATGAATCGATTACATACAATCATACAAATCCCCTCCTATCTTAACAGAAAAATACTCTAACATGTAATTAAATCATCATTAGTTAAATACTAAAGAATCATTTAAATTTTCATTACGCATGATGAACATTTAATTACTAATTTAAAGAACAAAAAAATACTCATACGTCAGGTGTCTGCAGTAAAAGGCAAATAAATAAAAAGGAAACGGAAACATCGTAATCTTGAAAATAAAAACGAAATTAAAAGGCAGCCAAAACAATGCGAAAACATTTTACATTTACAATGGCAATGAAAACGTCTACAGTAATTAAAATTAACATTAAAGAAAGGCGAAAATCAAATCAACTCATTTCATTTCTGTTGAAATCTTATTTTTTAAACATAAAAAAGGTTTTACCCATCTGTTCACTTTAATTTCCAGATCTGTGAATTTAAAGTCAATAAACCATATGCCATTGTTAGTTCATCTGTAAGTTTCTGGATACCTGGTATTGTCATGCTCTCAATGTACTATCGCATTTATCAAGAGGCCGACAGACAGGAACGTCTTGTTTACCGGTAAGTTTACATTTTTTATTTTAAGTCTCAGCACAGATGCAAGAAAAGTTATACAAACTCAGCACTTTCTAACTTAAAAAAACTAATGTTGGTAGTTAATTTAAAAAGAAGAAAAAAATGAACTAAACTAAAATGAAATAAAGAAAATAAACTGTCCACTTTCTTTCTAAGCTAATAAATTTTCACACTTTTTCATCATCCATGTATAACATTCTTCCTTTGTACGCACAAATAAACAACAACAACATCAAAATAAAAGGTCGAAAGTCGCTGCTATATTACTGGAGAAACATCTGCAGATAAGTCAAATACCTAAACCTCGCCCCAGCATACAGGTGGAGCAGTCAACCATATCGACAATGCGTCGAGAACGTAAAGCAGCACGAACTCTGGGCATTATAATGAGTGCCTTTTTGCTGTGCTGGCTGCCCTTTTTCCTTTGGTATGTGTGTGTTGCCTGAATCATTATTGTATTAAATGGCAGAACCCTGTATTTTTTACAGTAAAAACTTTTTATTTGGCTTTGTTTCCCTTTTAGATGTTTTGAGTTTTGCTCTGTTTTTTTATTTAGTTACAAATTAAGTTTATGTGTTTTTTTTGTGTTACAATACATTTAGGAATTAAAAAGAATATAGTCCCGTTCGAATGCCAAGTAGTTCTTTCAGTTATAGTTCAGTTCTAGTACAGTTCTAGTTCAGTTCTAGTTCAGTTCTAGTTCAGTTCTAGTTCAGTTCTAGTTCAGTTCTAGTTCAGTTCTAGTTCAGTTCTAGTTCAGTTCTAGTTCAGTTCTAGTTCAGTTCTAGTTCAGTTCTAGTTCAGTTCTAGTTCAGTTCTAGTTCAGTTCTAGTTCAGTTCTAGTTCAGTTCTAGTTCAGTTCTAGTTCAGTTCTAGTTCAGTTCTAGTTCAGTTCTAGTTCTAGTTCAGTTCTAGTTCAGTTCTAGTTCAGTTCTAGTTCAGTTCTAGTTCAGTTCTAGTTCAGTTCTAGTTCAGTTCTAGTTCAGTTCTAGTTCAGTTCTAGTTCAGTTCTAGTTCAGTTCTAGTTCAGTTCTAGTTCAGTTCTAGTTCAGTTCTAGTTCAGTTCTAGTTCAGTTCTAGTTCAGTTCTAGTTCAGTTCTAGTTCAGTGATTTCCCCTTAAGAGGTCAGCTCACAAGAATAATTTTAAATTCCCATAGCTTTGGTAATTTCGGACATACCCGAATATATTTTCTTACTTTGTTCTTATGTTTATCTTCTTTCTGTCTGTTTTTGGATTCTCTTTGCAGGCTTTACTGTAGCAAGTCATGCAAACATTAATTTTTATATTCGTTACCTTTTTTATTATTACACACTTCCCACAGTTTATCTATATACATTTTAATGTTAATAATTTCACGATTTTTGTGTTTTTATCACATTTTCTGTACACTTTACTTATTTTCTTCTTCAACCATTATCATTTCTTTATTCTTGTTTGTCTGCATTACTTACGCTCTCTCTCCGCTATACGCCATCACTTATTCGTACGTGTGTGTTTATTTCCGTTTCCCTTTAGGTATATAATAACATCGTTGTGCGACAGCTGTACAACACCTCGCATCGTAGTGGGCATATTATTTTGGATTGGTTATTTTAATTCAGCCTTGAATCCCATCATTTATGCGTATTTCAATAGAGACTTTCGAGCCGCATTTAAAAAGACTTTAAAGGTAAGTTCAAAGCAAATAATGCTTATTATGTCAATTGGTTGATGTTCTTTAAATATTTTCCGTTAATGCTTTTTTTATTTGAAAACAAATTTTATATTAAAAAGTTGGTTTCTTCTACTACTCCACATTTTTACATTTTATTTTCAATTTTTTTTTTTTTTATTTTATTGAGTTTAATGTTGCTACGGAAGTTGGCTGTGACAAATTTCATGTACAATATGAATATTGTATATACGAAATAATAATAAGAAGTGAAAATATTAATGGAATTCTTTTATCGTTGAATGACTTTTTATATTTATTTACATTTTTCTGTTTTTTTTTTTTTTTTTGTTCATTCCCGACAATATGAATTAAAGCTGAAATTTACTTAAGAACATTAAAAATTGCAAGCATAAATATGCGTTTATTAATGGAGCGAGTGGACATTAAAAAGTAACATTTTTCAATGTAACATTCCTTAAATTGTTGACCGTAAATTGATGTTAACAGACTTGACATAAAATTAAAAAGGACATTATTTGTAAGATTTAATAGCAAACTTGTCGACAATTTTGTTATTTCATCGTATTTTTGTAAATATTTCCAAATTGTTTATTTTAAAATTTTTTAATAATAAATGATGCTATAGGAATACCAGTTCATTTAATGTTAACTTCTGTTTTCTTTCGTTATATCAACATTAAACTCAAATCTTTATACTTAGCTAACAAAATACGCTTTTTATTTTTCAAAAAACTTCTTTTAAAAAACGTTAACAAATCTATTTTAAAATCATAACTAGTCTTACTAAAAGAAAAAAGAATTAATTAATCTTAAACATAAATTCACTATTTCCTGATTGACTGAATAATACTACAAATTTATTTTCCAAATCTTTTCATCATTTTAATTTTCTGTAGATGGCGTTTTCATATCTGATACGGTGTCTAACACCAACCACTTGTTAAAATATAAAAAAATCGTTTTCAAACAATATCAAAAAAAAAAAACAATACAAATTTATAGAAAATTTCTAAAAATATCTAAATGAAAGCAATACTATTGGTATGCAAATTGAAATTTTGTTGTCTTGAAAATGAATGTTGAAATAGACAGAATGTAATGTGTTTTATTTTTTCTAGTTTGTTTGCGTTAAACATAGAAAATAGTATACCCAACCACTTCACACCCATTTACAAATCCTAACAGCCCACCAGTCATTCATTCATTCATCCATCTATCCCTGTAACCATTAAAAATGTATTCAAATTTTTATACACAACAGTACTTATACTATTTTAAACATTTTAACAAATAAACCAACCTTAAATTTCAATGTAGTGAATATACATACATTATGTAGTAGTATTCAGTAGAGTATTGCATTAATCTAATGTTTATTTTTGTAGAAAATCTAAAATAAAAAATATTTTTCTTTTTATTTCAAAAAGTCATTTTTATTCATTCCATCATGATAAACACCTTTAAACTTTTTACTGCTCTTCCTTTTTTATTTTTAATCAAAATACACTATTTATCAAAAAAAAGATAAACAATGTCAGTAGAGTTAGCTGTGGAATCCATGTAGTAGTAGTAGAATGTAGTTTATTTTGTAAATGTGTTGAAAACGTACTAAAATAAAATAATAGAAATAAAAATTTATTATGTTATTTTAAAAATGATTTTATTATAAAAATCAACTGAATTTAAGGATAAAAAACATATTGATAAAATTTCTATGCACCAAAATCAATGAAAAATTGTAAATTGATTGCACAGTGGGTGAACTGATCCAAGATGAAGAAAATAGCTTAATCAGCTGATTTCTTGGCTGAAAGAGCAGATGGAAGGAGATATTTTAAAAAGTATGAGTGCATTAGTAAAGAATGTATTGAAAATTGATCATTAACTGTTAGTTTGTTAGTCAGAAGTTTTGGTTTGAATTTTTAACGGGACACATTATTGCCGTTACTATAAGGGAGCTAGCTGATCTAGAATCAAACAATTTGTCTTATGAGTTATTATTTATTAGCTAGTTCTCGCCAATAGTCCATAGATAGCAGACAGTAATTCAAATAATTATTCTCATCTGACTGCATCCATTTAGAATAAATAACCGTTCTAGTTCAGGTTCAATTCTAGTTCTAGTTCAGTTCTAGTTCAGTTCTAGTTCAGTTCTAGTTCAGTTCTAGTTCAGTTCTAGTTCAGTTCTAGTTCAGTTCTAGTTTCAGTTCTAGTTTAGTTCTAGTTCAGTTCTAGTTCAGTTCTAGTTCAGTTCTAGTTCAGTTCTAGTTCAGTTCTAGTTCAGTTCTAGTTCAGTTCTAGTTCAGTTCTAGTTCAGTTCTAGTTCAGTTCTAGTTCAGTTCTAGTTCAGTTCTAGTTCAGTTCTAGTTCAGTTCTAGTTCAGTTCTAGTTCAGTTCTAGTTCAGTTCTAGTTCAGTTCTAGTTCAGTTCTAGTTCAGTTCTAGTTCAGTTCTAGTTCAGTTCTAGTTCAGTTCTAGTTCTAGTTCTAGTTCAGTTCTAGTTCAGTTCTAGTTCAGTTCTAGTTCAGTTCTAGTTCAGTTCTAGTTCAGTTCTAGTTCAGTTCTAGTCAGTTCTAGTTCAGTTCTAGTTCAGTTCTAGTTCAGTTCTAGTTCAGTTCTAGTTCAGTTCTAGTTCAGTTCTAGTTCAGTTCTAGTTCAGTTCTAGTTCAGTTCTAGTTCAGTTCTAGTTCAGTTCTAGTTCAGTTCTAGTTCAGTTTAGTTCAGTTCTAGTTCAGTTCTAGTTCAGTTCTAGTTCAGTTCTAGTTCAGTTCTAGCTTCAGTTGAGTTCTACTTCAGTTCTAGTTCAGTTCTAGTTCAGTTCTAGTTCAGTTCTAGTTCAGTTCTAGTTCAGTTCTAGTTCAGTTCTAGTTCAGTTCTAGTTCAGTTCTAGTTCAGTTCTAGTTCAGTTCTAGTTCAGTTCTAGTTCAGTTCTAGTTCAGTTCTAGTTCAGTTCTAGTTCAGTTCTAGTTCAGTTCTAGTTCAGTTCTAGTTCAGTTCTAGTTCAGTTCTAGTTCAGTTCTAGTTCAGTTCTAGTTCAGTTCTAGTTCAGTTCTAGTTCAGTTCTAGTTCAGTTCTAGTTCAGTTCTAGTTCAGTTCTAGTTCAGTTCTAGTTCAGTTCTAGTTCAGTTCTAGTTCAGTTCTAGTTCAGTTCTAGTTCAGTTCTAGTTCAGTTCTAGTTCAGTTCTAGTTCAGTTCTAGTTCAGTTCTAGTTCAGTTCTAGTTCAGTTCTAGTTCAGTTCTAGTTCAGTTCTAGTTCAGTTCTAGTTCAGTTCTAGTTCAGTTCTAGTAAGTTCTAAGTTCAGTTCTATTCAGTTCTAGTTCAGTTCTAGTTCAGTTCTAGTTCAGTTTCTAGTTCAGTTCTAGTTCAGTTCTAGTTCAGTTCTAGTTCAGTTCTAGTTCAGTTCTAGTTTCAGTTCTAGTTCAGTTCTAGTTCAGTTCTAGTTCAGTTCTAGTTCAGTTCTAGTTCAGTTCTAGTTCAGTTCTAGTTCAGTTCTAGTTCAGTTCTAGTTCAGTTCTAGTTCAGTTCTAGTTCAGTTCTAGTTCAGTTCTAGTTCAGTTCTAGTTCAGTTCTAGTTCAGTTTCTAGTTCAGTTCTAGTTCAGTTCTAGTTCAGTTCTAGTTCAGTTCTAGTTCAGTTCTAGTTCAGTTCTAGTTCAGTTCTAGTTCAGTTCTAGTTCAGTTTAGTTCAGTTCTAGTTCAGTTCTAGTCAGTTCTAGTTTCAGTTCTAGTTCAGTTCTAGTTCAGTTCTAGTTCAGTTCTAGTTCAGTTCTAGTTCAGTTCTAGTTCAGTTTCTAGTTCAGTTCTAGTTCAGTTCTAGTTCAGTTCTCGTTCATTTCTAGTTCAGTTCTAGTTCAGTTCTAGTTCAGTTCTAGTTTCAGTTCTAGTTCAGTTCTAGTTCAGTTCTAGTTCAGTTCTAGTTCAGTTCTAGTTCAGTTCTAGTTCAGTTCTAGTTCAGTTCTAGTTCAGTTCTAGTTCAGTTCTAGTTCAGTTCTAGTTCAGTTCTAGTTCAGTTCTAGTTCAGTTCTAGTTCAGTTCTAGTTCAGTTCTAGTTCAGTTCTAGTTCAGTTCTAGTTCAGTTCTAGTTCAGTTCTAGTTCAGTTCTAGTTCAGTTCTAGTTCAGTTCTAGTTCAGTTCTAGTTCAGTTCTAGTTCAGTTCTAGTTCAGTTCTAGTTCAGTTCTAGTTCAGTTCTAGTTCAGTTCTAGTTCAGTTCTAGTTCAGTTCTAGTTCAGTTCTAGTTCAGTTCTAGTTCAGTTCTAGTTCAGTTCTAGTTCAGTTCTAGTTCTGTTCTAGTTCAGTTCTAGTTCAGTTCTAGTTCAGTTCTAGTTCAGTTCTAGTTCAGTTCTAGTTCAGTTCTAGTTCAGTTCTAGTTCAGTTCTAGTTCTCTAGTTTCTAGTCTAGTTCTGTTCTAGTCTGTTCAGTTCTAGTTCAGTTCTAGTTCAGTTCTATTTCATGTTCTAGTTTCAGTTCCTAGTTCCGTTCTAGTTCAGTTCTAGTTCAGTTCTAGTTCAGTTCTAGTTCAGTTCTAGTCAGTTCTAGTTCAGTTCTAGTTCAGGTTCTAGTCAGTTCTAGTCAGTTTAGTTCAGTTCTAGTTCTAGTTCTATGAGTTCTAGTTTCAGTTCTAGTTCAGTTTCTAGTTTCAGTTCTACGTTCAGTTCTAGTCAGTTCTAGTTCAGTTCTAGTTCAGTTCTAGTCAGTTCTATTCAGTTTTTTTCAGTTCTAGTTCAGGTTCTAGTTCAGTTCTAGTTTAGTTCTAGTTCAGTTCTAGTTCAGTTCTAGTCAGTTCTAGTTCAGTTCTAGTTCGTTCTAGTTCAGTTCTCTAGTTCAGTTCTAGTTTCAGTTCTAGTCAGTTCTAGTCAGTTCTAGTTCAGTTCTAGTCAGTTCTAGTTCAGTTCTAGATCAGTTCTAGTCAGTTCTAGTTCAGTTCTAGTTCAGTTCTAGTCAGTTCTAGTTCAGTTCTAGTTCAGTTCTAGTTCAGTTCTAGTTCAGTTCTAGTTCAGTTCTAGTTCAGTTCTAGTTCAGTTCTAGTGTTCAGTTCTAGTTCAGTTCTAGTTCAGTTCTAGTCAGTTCTAGTTCTAGTTCAGTTCTAGTTCAGTTCTAGTTTCAGTTCTAGTTCAGTTCTAGTTCAGTTCTAGTTCAGTTCTAGTTCAGTTCTAGTTCAGTTCTAGTTCAGTTCTAGTTCAGTTCTAGTTCAGTTCTAGTCAGTTCTAGTTCAGTTCTAGTTCAGTTCTAGTTCAGTTCTAGTTCAGTTCTAGTTCAGTTCTAGTTCAGTTCTAGTTCAGTTCTAGTTCAGTTCTAGTTCAGTTCTAGTTCAGTTCTAGTTCAGTTCTAGTTCAGTTCTAGTTCAGTTCTAGTTCAGTTCTAGTTCAGTTCTAGTTCAGTTCTAGTTCAGTTCTAGTTCAGTTCTAGTTCAGTTCTAGTTCAGTTCTAGTTCAGTTCTAGTTCAGTTCTAGTTCAGTTCTAGTTCAGTTCTAGTTCAGTTCTAGTTCAGTTCTAGTTCAGTTCTAGTTCAGTTCTAGTTTCAGTTCTAGTTCAGTTCTAGTTCAGTTCTAGTTCAGTTCTAGTTCAGTTCTAGTTCAGTTCTAGTTCAGTTCTAGTTCAGTTCTAGTTCATAGTTCAGTTCTAGTTCAGTTCTAGTTCAGTTCTAGTTCAGTTCTAGTTCAGTTCTAGTTCAGTTCTAGTTCAGTTCTAGTTCAGTTCTAGTTCAGTTCTAGTTCAGTTCTAGTTCAGTTCTAGTTCAGTTCTAGTTCAATTATTGAAATCGTTATGTGCAAAAAAGAGAAATAGTTTTTTGGTCGTGTGTGCTCTGTGTTTAAAATTAAATAGAAGTGCAAATTTATATGTATATATATTTGACCCTCAATGATACTCATTTTATACATACGCAACCCATTGTGCAATCAAACAAAACACTATCAAGGTATCTATCCTTGATATTTTGTGAAAATACATAAATGTAAATATATGTAAATATTATATCGTTATATTAGTAGCCGTGTATTAAATTTATTTGTGGATATTATCCAGTTACTGTTTGTTAGTAGAAATGTTGTTCTCTGTTGTAGATGAATTTAATATATATGAATGTATGTATAGTATATACTCATGTATATAAATAAGTATTTTCATCTTCTCCTCATTCTATTCTTCACTATAAAAAATTAAAAAAAATAAACCATCTCATTTTCTTTATTTATCTCTTAAATTTAATTTCAATCCCAATCAATATTTGATTTAATTTTCGTTTAGTGATACTTTTTAGTATTTTTATTGTTCGTGTGTGTGATGATGGTCTTCTATAATTCACTTGTTTACATTACATTTACAGTCCTGTTGTCCCTACAAACTTATAAATTGTCGTGTAAGTGCTGGCGGCGAAATGCCACCATTTGTTAATTCCACCGCTTCATCTGAAATACACATGAATATAATACGTGCCCGCCAATATGCCACCTCATCATCTTCAAATCAATTGCAAACATTATATCAAAACTAAGTGAAATACAGAAACTAAAACAAAAATTACTAAATGTAAGGAAGCCGAAGGACAATTCTATACACAACTAACGAATGTTGGATGGAATAAGAAGGTAAAAATAAACTTTTTTTTCTCAATTTGGTATTCAGGTGTTTTTCTATTATATTCTAAGTAAATATTACTAAAAAAAAACAATTGTTCAATAATATGTTTATCTAATATTAATAATACACACCAAATATCATCATTATTAACTCTACAGTTGCTGTCATACTTATGGTATGTTCACATTGATAAAATATTTAATGAATTAATAATTACATAGAATTCGTTTGATCTAATATTTTATTGAAAAGGTTGAAATTTGAATTAGGGAAGAACATTTTTTAAAAGAAAAAGATTTTGTTAAATAATTTCTTAAGTATATTAAAGACTATTGTTCAATTCACAATCGATGTTGTAGCGTTGTATGCGTTGTATGTCAGCAGCTGCTACAATAGTCATAACAATGTTGTTGGTATTTTCTATGCAAAAGCTCTATACAACTTCTACGACAATTTTTCATATGTTTTTCGAATGTTGTAAGAAAGTTTAGTGTTGCCAATTGTTTTTTTCAACATATTAACAAAATATTCAAAAGATTTTAGCATAAAAAACGATAAAGTGGTAACACTGAAATCAAAAACAAACAGCTGTTTACCAAAACAAAAAAACTAAAATTTGATTAAAAACAGTTTAAAATTTGGTTTATTTCGCATGTTTAATTAAATTTAAATTTTTTGATTTTTTATCTTTTGACATTGTTATGTATATTTGTTTTGATTGTTTTTTTTTTTTTTTTTCATTGAGAACATAAACTTACGACTTGCTGCAAAGATCTGTTCACAATCACTGTTACTACACTTTAGTAGGTACAATATACAACTTGATTGTGAATTGAACATATATCAAGTTATTATTTGTAAAAAATTTATTTTTAAAGATTTTCAAAAAAAAATCATAAAAAAAATTTAAAAATTGTATTTTTTTAATGTTTAAAAAATCACTTTTTTGGACTATTGGCGGAAAAATAATTTGAAAATTACTGAAAAAATGTTGTTTAATTTTTCCAAAAATTTTAACTTTATTTTAGAAAATTTTCCAAAATAAAATTTAAAAAAAAAAATCTATAGAAAATTTACAAAAAAAAAATTTTTGTTATAAAGATAATTTTCAAAAAATTATGTTTTAATAAAAACTTTTTAAAATTGTCATGTTTCAAAAATTTGCGAAAAATTCTATAAAAATTTAATTTCTTACAAACAAATTTCAGTTTTTTTACAAATTGTTCGAACAGTATTCCATTTATTTTGCAAACATGTTCAAAATATTTGATCAATGTGAACTTTACCTTTTCTTATGATTGTCTTTGTATTTACTAACAAATTTAAAAGTAATATATTTGTGTATGTTTGTAGTAAAACTTGTGCTACTAAAACAATTGACTAAAATTTAATAAACGTTATTTATTATTGAATCACAATTTTCTTTGTCATCTAAAGCACTCAATGAAATTTTAATAAAGGCATTATTTTACGGAAAAGGTATAAGTTTACTATAGTTTAATATTAGATGTGAGAATCTAAACTTCCGGGAAATTATATATGGTTTGTTAAATTTTTTTAAAGCAAACATGTTTATTATTTATTTAAAATTAAAGAAAATATTAGTTGTCTTCCGTTATTAGAAATAATTTGTATAAAATAAACTTAACATTAAAACACAAGAAACTAAAATCTCCTAAATGTCTTTAATTAAATTTCACTGACTGTATTACTTACTTTTCCAACATTTCAACTTATTTAAACAAACACTAAACAAAAACCGAAGAGCTCTGAAAGATAAACAATAAAAAAACCTACTACTACTACTACTGCTCCCAGTGGAAATAAATACATAAGTTAAAAAATAAATATTGTATAAACTAAAATAACTAAACTATAAGATAAATGAGAATAAGTTTCATAAACAAATAAAAAACGAGCGCATAAAATAAAAAGCCAATAATAAATAACAAAAATAAATAGTTAAACCATGGTAAATATATGTATGATGAAAATACATATAAAAATAAAAACGTAAAATTAGTAAACTAAAATAATACAGAATTATATGTAAATAATAATAAAATTATACATAAATAAAAAAATATATATTTATAGGAAAATTCATCCTACGACAATCCCACAGATTAAAAGCCTTTAGCATTTAAGAGTAACAAAACAAAAATACAACAAAGTTAAACAATAATAACAAATGAAAATTAAATTCACAAAAAAAAAAAATCCAAAAACCAAAGAAAAACCCAGGAGAAATAATATTTTATAAAATTAGGCCATGACTACTTGAACTAAAAGTTAAAATAAATAAACAATACACAAAGCACAAATACAAATTCAAATTAAAAACAGCAAAACTCAAACACAAATATTAAACGAAAAACAACTTAACCTCAAATTTGTGGTTTTAGAAAATGCATATAAAAATAAACCAAAGAATGTTTGTTGTATTTAATTTGCCTATAAAACACACACACACAGAAAACATTCATAACTACATTTTAAAAATCATTTATGTATAATGAATAAACAAATAAATTCGAATATTTTAGGTATTCAAAATAAAAAAAAAAAATAAAAAATTATACTACTTGTGCCGTATAATTTATTTAAATGGTTTTAATTTCAAAAATTATGCAATTAAATCATAATCAGCATTATTCTAAACGTTATTTTAATAGTTTGAATTAGAAATATGTTTTTAACATTGAATTAAACCAAATACATATTATTTATAATGGTTTTGTTTAATGTTCAGGATATTTTGTCAATTTAAAAAATTTGTTGGGAATATGTACATAATTAAGTATTTATGTATATTAGACTAAATTTGCAAAAACTCCACAAAAGTACATATATACATTTGATGAGCCATTTTTTTACCCGAATCTCAAAATTTTTTTCAGAATCACTTTCTGAGTCGACTAAGCCATGTGCATACGTTCCACAGTGGTATAGACATAAATGAATTTTGGACCTCATGGATCCACCAAGTAGTAAGGGATCCGCAAAGTAGGACACCTCGGGTATGTTATATTTTTTAAAGGATCCTATCAATTATCTTTTATAGCTTAGGAGATATTCGTATTTGAAAACTAAAATTGTCCCCATTTCAACGACCCTACTCTAGTTTTTTGATAACAGTGGGTCCAAATATTTCCCGATTTTCTTATATTTATTTTATTCGCTTAGCAACTAATTTATATATGAAACAGTGAAAGAATAGTTAAATTTTTTAAATTTTATGTTATCGAAAAAATTTCAATTCAATTTCAGAATTTATACTTTTTAGAAAGCTAACTTTGAATTAAATGCTTGACATTAAAAAAGATTTCGAAACTTTTGAACCGAAGAGTACCAAGAGCATCCCAAAAAGAACTATTTTGTATCTAAAATCCATTTTTAGGGTAAAAATTCTCAAATTTCATAGTCGATATCAAATTATAGTAACCCATTTAAGATGGCTCAATGTGTTCTTAATCATTCTGTAAAGGGTTTCGATAACCCCACCTCTAGTATGGGTATTATAACTAAAAAACTAAAACAAATCCTATTTTTTGGATTTTTCAAAACTTTTTTGGGAATTGAGGGATTTGTGATAACAAATTTCACAATTTCTTTTTAGATTTACATTCTCAATGAATGTGTCTATATCCTACAAAGACTACTCCTCAAAGAACTAGGACTAGTCCAAAACTAATATGGAAAAAACATACTCCAACGGAGTAATCTAAAAAAACTAATCCTTGCTGATATAATGGGTGTACATCCGCAACATGGTCCTGTGTAATATAGGCTATGGACCATGTTGTTTGCAAAAATAATAAACATGATCCATGCCTGCATTACATAGGACACCTAAACGGATAATGTACTCTATAATGTTTACAATAGTTTTTGGTTTACTTAAATGGATTATGTACTCAAATAATTTTTGCAGGGTATATCTGTAAACTTTCGTTCAAAATAGACTTTTTATTTAAATTTTAAAATTTTTGTCTTCGTAAATATTCAACAAAAAGCTATTTTTGCCGCATTTTGTTAAAAAAAGTCTTCTATAAATTTCTGAATTTCTAAAGTAGACTTAATTTCCAAATTGATATATTAAGCGTCTACTTTGTCCTTTTCACATACATATAAAACTAAGGAGAAAATATTTAACTTCTCATGGTAAAATATCATTTGAATCGGACAAACCCATTTTTTATTTCTATACCACTGTGCGTCCGTCCGTGATCTGTCCATCCGTCCGGTTGGCTAGCTGTCTATGTAAATTTTGTGCGAGCCGCAATTTTCAACATAGTTTGATATACCATACGCGTTTTTCGGTCCATGGACGAAGCCTGTTGAAAATGGTTTAAATCTGTCCATTTTATTTGACCCTAACCCCTATATAAAGCGTCTTTTAGAAAATCTTATTTTCATCAATAAATTGCTTAAATACATACATCGGAAATAAAAGTAAAATTCCTCATAAATATTTTTTATATAAAAAATTACTCATAACCTAATGTAGGGTATCACATAGGCGACTGACTATACATTCCTACTTGTTTTATAGATAAAAAAGTATATAGTGTATTGTTTAAGGCTTAAACATAAAACCTTAGACATATAAACCCGAAAAATAAAATTTTTAAGTTGAGTCACTTTTGAATCAAGTGTATGTAATTCAAATTAAACTATACCTAGCAATTAGTTTAACAAATATTAAAAATATTATTTACCCTTCATTTAATAATAACTTTTTAAAGTCTTTTTAACAGATTAAAAGAAATATCACAAAAAGGTGCTAAATAATTTCTCGGTGTTCATACCTCAAAACTACATATCACTTATTTACTATAAATTTCGGTTTTTTCATATAGTTTTGCGGCTGCCTTTAAAATTCACAAATTCACGACACCTACTTTTATTTAGCATAGCCGAGAAAGAACACCCTTAGTTGTTAATATTTGTTACAAATTTAATAATTTGCAAAAAAGAAATTAATTCGAAACTCGTCTAGTCATCGTGC